AGCTGGAGGAAATTAATGGGGAAAACCTAAGAGAAACAACTTCAATCTTGGATCCAAGGAGAGTATTAAGGGAAGACAAGGGGAGGAAATCAGCAAAATTAATTTTTAAAAAACCCATAAAGATCTAGTGGAGATAAATCAGATGCACAAAATGGTTTCAGAGGGCATGAAAGATGGCAGAATGCTTAGAGAGACAGAAACAAAAAGTGAAAAAAGAAATGAGAGGGAATTACTTAGAAAGATGAAAAAGGGAAAAATAGGAAGGGGGCCCTTAATGTTGAAAAACATGTATATATTTAACTTGGGGAATTGTAAAGGAGCATATCCTTTATATTAAAAAGGAGAATTAAACTGAAATAAGGGAGCTCTAACCAGGGTAAAGATGTAATATGGTGGGTTTTCATTTTAGGTAAATTAAAATAGAAATAAGGTTGCGGCATGGATCTGGAACTACTTTTATTAAGAATGTTATTAGAAAATTTTGAGAATATTGTACACTATGAAAGTAATATTATGATAGTAGCCATATTATATACTGAAATACGTACATGAATGGTTTGAATGTTTGAAAGATGTCTGGAATTTGGGGGGGACAACTGGGAAGACACTGAGGTGTAAAAATCAAATAATTGTAAGCAAATCATGTAACACAATGTTTGACAAGCACAAATCAAATGTAGATAGAGTGAAAAACTAATAAAATGTTTTTTTAAAAAGAAGCTGATAAGTCTGCTTAACAAGCAAAGTAATATCTACAAATGGGTATGTATCATTTTACAATTACATTAAAAATAATATTCTGTATTTACTAGAAACTCACTGCCAAACAGAAAACTATAAACTAAGCTTCAAGAGAAGATACTCTATTTTTATAGATTTAAAAACAACATCTGAAAGGGATATAACACAGATGAATGAGAACTACAAAGAGAGCATTTAATCAAATACCCCTCACAAATCTATTGCCATAAAATATCATATTACAATCACGATAATACACAGCATTAAAAACCTTGTGATGTCTAAAGTCACCTAACTTTCACAAGAATGCCCAATAAAGTATACCATAAATATACAGTATAGATCTTTGAGAGTAAGTAGTACATTAAATCTTTACTTCACAATACAGTAACAGAGATAAAGTAGAAATACCATTTTTGTATTGTTTGCATCTGGTTGGTTAGACTAATGTCCCGTACTTTATGCACTTTTTATTGTTATATTATTTACCACCTTGGGTACATTGTATAGTTTGCTCCCTTGATCTAGAAATGTAGTTTAAAATGCTTAAATAAGTGGATATTCAAGCAGAAGTATAAACTAGGCCCTGTCCTTCCAGGGCTATGTTAAAGCACAGGTGCCCTACCATACTCAGCTCCACACAACCGAACACTTAACAGGGCTACACAACGGTCACATAGACTATTACCTATATTAAGAAAGGGAGAGGAATCATTCTCTTCCCTAAGGCCTGTTGAGTCTATGAACTGGAATCTTGCCCCTCTCAGCTTGAAGATGGTCACTTCAGTTGTTTCTTCTTTTCTTGCCAGAGGGATCAGGCCATACCAATAGCAGAACAAACAGGCAGCTCTTCTAGCAGACAAGTTTCTCCTAACAAGTTCCCTATACAGTGGTGCCCCGCATGACGATGATAATTCGTTCCACTGAAATCGCTGTTAAGTGAAATTGTCGTCATGTGAAAACAGTTTCCCCACTGGAATGTACTGAAACCCATTTAATGTGTTCCAATGGGGAAAATACCTTGTTGTCCAGCAAAGATCGCCCATCGGGAAGCCATTTTGCGATCACCGATCAGCTGTTAAAATGGCTGCCCTGCGAAGCATGAGTCTGGAAAACACAGGGCAGCCATTTTGTGGAGCCGACGATCATCGGAAAAAATCGTCACCTTGCGAACAAACGGTTCCCGAAGCACAGACCAAATCATTGTCAAGCAGAAATCGCCCATAGGAATGACTTTTACGAAGCGCAATGGCGATCACAAAAAGTCATCGTTCTGTGGATTTGTCGTTCAGCAGGGTCATCGTCTAGCGAGGTACCACTGTAAATGAACAGCTAGGACCGCGTCACAGTTCAATTATCTGTTTTGTTGTTGCTCTAAATCCTAATGGCTGAGCAGGACTTGAGTTAAAACCTGTGCGGACTGTGTAAAAAGCTCTCCCCCTTGTGATCACTAATAGCATTTGGTGGCGATCCGTTTAATGTTCTTATTATGGCAAACTATTTACTAAAGGATTGTGCAGAACACTGTATCTCACCTTTTCTTCTGCTGACTGTCCTGCTACCTCCCCAGTAAGCAGGTTTCTGGGCTGCAGTTCCAAGAGTGTTTTGAAAAGGTTATCAGAGAGAACTCTCAAAAAATCTATCTCAGCATTAGGGTGGAGACCGTATAGTATAGGACTTTCAACAGGCAGCATTTCATCAATGTACTTGTGGTATCCAATATAGTCCAAATTTGGAGGAGATAGGAAACCTGGAGCCAAAGCGAAGTCACCTTCGAGCTGTAGTTGGGGAAAAATATTTATCTTCAGTACTTTTAAAGCTTTCAGGCCAAGTGTATTTAAAACTTCAATATATTGCAGCAGTTGTGTGTGGGTTTGTTTGTCTTTTGGTACAGGTAAGGAGGGATCATCTCCCACACATTGGGGTGTTCAGGATTGCTGTAGCTTGCAAAGAGTCCTAATGCAATAATTTCGTAAGTGAAATATGTGACTACATCTGCAAGATGTAAGTAAGATATTTCTACTTGTTGTAGATCTCAGGTGAGGATATTAACAAGCTCACATGAAAAGTAATCTAAAACCACTGTAGTAATTTTAATAGCTTAGTCAATTGAACCATAATAAAACCTGTAGTGTTATCATCTCATGAGGTCCCAAATGCATTGAATCATGGCACTGAGAGTACCCATCCTTTGCTGCTAAATAAATGGTTTTGATTTAGTAACAAAAGGGCAGTGTCATTGTCAGTCAGGTTTCCAATGAGAAGCGTCACCGTTCATTGATAGAACACAAGCTTTGCAAACATAAGGTCCTCAATTCAATCTGTACCTTCTTCAGGTAAGGCTGGAAGAACCCCTGCCTGAAATCTGGAAGAGCCAGAGTCAGCCAGTGCTGACATTATTGAGCTGGATGGACTAACAGTCTGACTCGATAGAAAGGCGCTTCCTAAGTTCCTGTGTACAGCGAAGATGGTAGTAAGAAACGCTAAGGCCTCCATATTTTTAAAAACTATTGGCAGTTCAGTTCCCAAGTGTGCCTCCTTAACAAGGGCTGGACTCGATGATCCATAGAGTCCTTTCTAGTTCTGCTGTTCAATGATTGTGTTTGCTGTGCAACTTCTATGTTTCCTATAGCAGTAACAATGCAAAGAGCTGCCTTTACGGAATGACTTTGCAGAAGTACGGTCCTTGTCTTGTTATTTTACTCCTGATTCCTAAATGGAATACAGTGATTTACTCACTCCCAATGGATTGGGGTAGGGGGTTGTTATAAAACTGATAAATGACAAAAAAGCATACCTAACTTTTAGAAAAAACCTTTATAAGGAATCTCTTCAGCATTTAAACTATCTTTTATTTCTTAACAGAAAGGAGTTTTCCTCATGTCTGCTGATTATGGCTTAACAGAATATTTATACACAACATTTTCCTTCAAGCAGTTTAGCATGAAAGCAGGTATCTTCCTTAGCCAAATACACACCTAATATTCCATATACTACAATTTCTATGCTAAAAGCATCCATGCTATGCACTATATTTATGTGTTATTGATCGCCTTAACATCTAAATGCAACTTTAACCTGATAAACCAATGCAAATACCAACAAGACAAGCAATATCCTACTTGGACATAAAAATGAGACAGCGGCAATGTACCTGCTGACCCCAGTTTATGTTTACACATCCATCAGTCACTGAAGGAAGTTGTTTCTTTTGGTTTACATAGGAAGAAAACCACTGTCCAATTAACAACAAAATAAATTGTTTTGTTTCTGAACACTTAACTAAGCCTGCCCTCAGGATTGGTTAACAAACAGCATTTAATTCCATCCCTCTCTTTCAGATTTTGTACCTATATTTGACGTACATTTAAATGAAAGTTAAGGCTTGCGAAGGTTAATGGAGTGCCTAGCTTAGAAACAGTAATTCTTATCTGTGGGCTGGATGTAAAGGAGGTACCAATGGAATAAGCTTCCCACACTGCCCCCATGACCTCAGCTGTCATTTGGAGAAATCAGCTTCCGTGGAGGTCAGAAGTACAGTAGTGGTTATCCTTTCCATCGCCATGGTAACTCATGCCTGGGCCTTCCAATTGACTTCCAATTGTGTTGCACTGAATGCAGCTTTGTGACATATGAAAACCTACTCATTAAGAAGTGAATACATGCAAGCAAACTCGTTTCACATCAAACCACACAACACACTTCCAGCTACAGCATGAGTGAGAGAAGATGGAATAGCCTGAAGTCTATCTATGTTTCACCGCATAAATGACCTCTTCATGTGGTACTTAATCCCCCCCCAACTTTTGCTTGCACTCTAGTTTCATTTGGCATTCTTATGCCTTTTGATTTTGCAAATGTGTGCTGAAATTCCAAGCAGTTAGTAAGGAGAAAATTCCTCTGGCACTACTTTTTACCTCTTGCCATGATTTGTGACTATACTGTGTTGTCTGCAGTAGGACAACCGCTTCCAGTAGCGCTAATGAAAGTTGGAGTGCAATCCTATGGGTGTCTATTTATAACCTGGCCTGATGGATTTAAATAATATTCCTAGGTGCAGAAACAAACAGTACAGATAATCAATCATTAGAAGAGGAAAATTCTTAACTAGTGAAAGCACCGGAGTAAACAACAGTTTTTTCCCTAATTTACACATTTACTTGCTTATTTTTTTAAAATTTAAATTTAATTGGCCTTCAGGACTTGAGCACCAGATTCCTTTGAAGTCTGATTTCTTGAATAAAGAAGTTTACCTGAATCATGTCTCTCCAACAGAAATATATTTTCAACTCTAACCATGGGCTGTCTGTATGGTCTGTTTGTTCAAGTATATTGCAGTATTATAGCAGTATTGTTAATAGAAAAGAGAGTCAGTCATTTTCAAATGGAATGAATATGCTGGCCAATTTAACATTTAAAGGAAAATACAGATAACAGAAGGAGAAAACCGGACTCAAATATTTATAGTCAAGGAAGTTGAAGACTAGCATAAGCTAATTGTAAATTACTTAATATTGCACTACTCATATATCATTAAGTTATAATACTGCAATCAATTCAACAGTTTTAATATTTCAGATAAAACATGACTAGACTTACATGTACTGTATTACTAAGTATTCCCTGATGATGGCTTGGAAGTTTCAAGACACAATAAATAAAGTTACACAGAAATAGATTGTTATAATACTGCAATCAATTCAACAATTTTAACATTTCAGATAAAACATGACTAGGCTTACATGTACTGTATTAGCAAGTATTCCCTGATGATGGCTTGGAAGTTTCAAGACACAATAAATAAAGTTACATAGAAATAGGTTTGAACCTCTCTGATGCTTCCTTTTGTATAAAACACGCACACATACACAGAGGAAAATGCAGTCATCTAACACAGTGGTCTGGGCCTCCAGATGTTCTTGGACTTCAACTCCCAGAAATCCTGGCCAGCAGAGGTGGTGGTGAAGGCTTCTGGGAATTGTAGTCCAAGAACATCTGGAGGCCCAAGGTTGGGGACCACTGATCTAACACAAGGGCTGCCACCTGATGAGTCAGTTTTCATCCCCACTCAGATTATTCTGCTGTTATTCAGTCCTTTTGGCCTAAATCAGAGATGTGGAGTGTGTGGCTGGTGATTCTGCACTGTAGCTCATTTCAGCTCTAACCACCAAAGACAATGGAGAGAGATGCTGAAAGCTGCAGTCCCACAATATTTGGAAGGCCACACATGCCCTAACTCTATTTTAAGCAGTGGCTGAGCATTTTGTTTGGGAAGTAGTCTCAGCCAGGCCAAAAACCATGCCAACTGGCTCCCTGGTGAAATACTGAGGACCATACCAGCACACTTTTGGGTGGTACCATGGAACAACAGTTGTTTTCGGCTGTCACATCTCATATTCCCTGCCATAACCCTTTCCTAATGACAAGATGGACACCATAGCTATAGCTGTATTTGTAACCTATTACAAACTTTCTGTGATGCTTCTCTGAGGAATCTGAAGATGAAGCTAGTGCAAAATGCTGTTGTGCATCTCTTGATGAGAGAAGTTATGCCTTGTACAATTCCATTGTTGCCAAAAGAGTGAAGCCTTTTTATTTTTCAAAATTGTAAAACCTATTGGTATTTTGTTTAAAAAATACTGTGAAATATATAGCAACAAATAATTGTATAACTAGGATAAAGGAAGAAGACAGATTTGTATAGATTTATTCCCCCACACCCCAAAATCAGGAAGCCGTCACTGAATATGGTTTGGTACTAAATCTTTTCATAAGCATTTTCACATATGATTTTCCTTGTGTCCATAAATTATTACCAGAGAAGGACTCATCAATTCTTCTAAGTATGTGCGGCAGAGTCTGCGGTCCCAGTCATCAGTGATGTGTCCACCATACATAATCTCACCAAAGAGATAACGCAAATCTTCCCATGGAACCTACAGATCATAATGGAATGCATAATTAAATAAAGAACCAGCTAGCTTCCTGAAAGGACAAACCAAAGTCACTTGTAATGGAAGTGGCATAACAACTCCCTGACTTCATCAGCACAAAAAGAAAAATCAACATATGGTCCCTAGGGATTTCTGTAATTATGGTGTTACATCTGTATGTGTGTCTTTTACAACAAGAGAATCATAATGAGAATGCTGACCCAACCTGCCACAGCACTGTCATCTCAGGGGTTAGATTGTCATGTTCAGTTGTCACGCTCTTTTGGCAGATGTGTGGGGTATGCATGTGAGTGTATATAAAACATTACAGTACTCATGCAACAGGAGCAGGTATGCAAAAACAGGGATTAACTGGGTGTGAAATGCAAATAGAATTAGAACTTTAAGAGATTTGATTCCATTTTCTTAGGTCTGGACAAAAACAACGGTTTCATATCTCATGTGTTAAGTAACAGTGCAGGTTATAACAACTCAGTAACTGCTGCTTTGAATGTGCTCACCTCATATTTTACACAAAATTGTCCAGACATTTGTTGCTTTAATTGCAGAGTCATTAGGTCCGACTGGTTATATCCCCACTCCCATTTGCTCAGGGTAGTCTATGAGCAGCAAATTGAGGTTAACTCTCCATGTATCTGATGAAATGGATTCTAGTCCGTGAATGTTTACACTCCCCAAAATGTGTTAGTATGTAAAGTACTAAAAAATACTTTGTTGTTAATTAAAGGGTTTCCAGCAGCAACAGAATCTTTTTAAAACAATGTGAGATAAGAAAAATATTATTTGGTCCTCCATTAAATATAAATTCATTAGTTGAGGAATAACTCATGGGAGTCTTGTTTACAGAGAAATAATAACCAATACAGAGTGACAAAATTTGATATGATACACACTGACAATCTTCAGAAAGAATGGAAAAAATATTCTGTCAACAGATACTCACTTGAAACTTATGCTAATTACAGCAGGGACTCTGTGATCTTATCAGTCATGAATTAGTGCAACTGTATTATGATCAGAGTGTTGGAAGGAACCCTTAGTATTTTCTGTACAAACTTACTGCTTTATTTTTTTAACTACAGTAAGCATATTTTCCTTCTTAACCATGGTATTCATGAGGCAATCTTTTTAGACCTGAACCTTTCTGCCCTCAGGGGACCATATTTGCCTCCCAACAGTTCAAATAAAAGCTTAATTATAGGCTTTGTATATTACATGATGAGACAGAGCAGAGCAAGTAAAATAAGTGTAGCCATTGCAAAGCAAGTGAAGTAATAGCAGATTTTGTTGTGTGGTTGATGCACGTTCATTTTCATTTTAGGAAAGGAATATTTAACCTTAATTCTTAGAAACATAGCAGCAACAGAAAGACATTATCAGAGAGATCACTTTGCATTCAAAATACTTTGTATTTGATACCCAAGCAGAGGAATTTTTCTGTTATATATTAAATTCCAAGACTAACACAAGAAATTGGTTTCTCGCTTATAAATGCTATAAATCAAGTTTCAATGAAAACCTTAGCTGTAGGCATTTTGTTCATTTAGTGGGATGCCTACAATTAATACTAATGCAATATGATTTAGTAAAGCTACCTTTCATGTGTTGGATAAAAAGCTTTTTGTAACAAACAGATTATAAGCAATCTACAATCAAATGACAACAGGATCAAAACATCAGTGCTCAATACCTAAAAGGAAGAGTAGACAGATATAGGTTCTGTCACAAGAATAATTAATTAAATTTAAGTGCTAATTAGACAATTTCAAAATTATTTGAATACTGGATTTAGAAAAGGTGGTCTGGTGAAAAACAAATCCATCTATTACTGCAGATATATCTTAAATAAATTAGTTCAAAAGCTTGATTTGGGGGCTTACATGGACCCCAAACCCACTTCTTGCTTATTTAAAATGCTACTCTTTAAAGGCATAACAAATCAATTAGATTACTTTGACAGAGATATTTTATTTATAAACTGCAGCCATTCATTTCCCTTACTCAGAATGTTAAAATAACTCAGAAGTGAACAGATTTGCAAGGGTTAATCTGCCTCTTCCATTCATTTACTACATTACTGCTGTTTACTATTCCAAACCTTTGGAGCTCATCTGAAAGATGTTTTTCACCTTCCCCCTTCTAAGAGAACTTGACTCCTGCCTCTGGCAATACTGTATTTTACATATTGACTCAAACCCAGCAGCAGATCTTATAAGGCTGATGGTATCATCAGCTGCAACATTTTTTGTAAATTACAATTTTTTGTCTCCTCCCCCTGTCAAAGGTCTCCGGGCTCCCTTGGGATCCCTTTAATCACAGGAAGCCATTGAGGGCTGCAGGATGGGGAGTCTTTAATTTCTGAAAATTTCCACATCCAGGATGATTTTACTGGGGGCAGTGATTTTTGGAAAGACTCTCCACCCACCCCTGCCACACCATTCCACACCCACCAGTGATGAAATGGATCCTGAAAAAACCTTGGGAAGAAGGGTAAGGGGATGAATTGGGAGATTTTAATTTATGGAAAACTGCTCTAGCTGATGAATGTCCACCTTATGCAGCATAAATTCTGCTACTGGGTTTCAATCATCACTGTCACCTGCTCTTAACCCAGAAAAGTACTTCATCTGAACATGTCATTAATTACTAGGAAATTATAAACAGTTAGTCCTTTCATGAGACCAATTGCACTGGTGAAGTCAGCATGTTTCCAGGTTGTATAGAATGCATTGCAAGAACTCCAGATAGCTTATCAGGTTGCTTACTCTGTGTGCAACTGGATTAACACATGGTATCACCTGAACAGTTTTAAATCCTCCAGTTGGCAACTAATCTGAAGATCAAGTAAAATTACTCATCTAGTTTCAAACTTGAACTCAGGGGAAACATTCCCCGAGAAAGTCACAGCAAGGTGGCCTCCTTAATACATAATAATGGCACACGAAGGAAACGCACCATTATTTATACATGTGACATGCTGTAAATTGCTTCCATCATCAGAATTAATTGTAGTGATTATTAATGCCATGTTATGAACTGTCAGGTCTGCTGTATGTAATTACAGTTGCGCAAATGCTTCATTACCTGCCTAATGAATTTGGCATATATGCACATGTAAACCAGTGTTTTTGTTAACATAATGAAGGACATTTTTATTTATTTATTTATTTATTTTAGCTAAGTCATCAGTGTGGAACTGGTTCATCCTATGTTATGAAATTTAAACATCCTCTGTGATAAACCTTTGATCTGTCTGGTTGGTATGCTCAACAGCAAGTGTACATTTCATTAACACAATAAAGAAAATGTACTCTCCTGCTCACTTTTAAAAATGAGGGGAAAAACAATGACAACTTAAAGTCACTTGGGAAGCTGGAAGAAGAAAGAGCAGATAGCTTCATGTCATCCTGGGTAAAAAAGAAAGGAGATAAGGAGAAAGAAAAAGGAACAGTAGGAAAAATAATTGTCTGCATTTTTGCATTATACGAGTGCACCTGGTTCTAACAGACAATGACAGCTCTGGGAGCAACAGGTCACAGTTGTAGGATTCTTGGTTTTATTAGGAAAAAAGGTGGGTTTCTTAAACATGAATTTGAGCAACAGGAAGCAGCGGGAAGCAGGTGTGCTATCTGCAGTCCTTGTTCTAGTTCTTACCTTAGTATTTGCCTCTAGATAGTTGTAGAGGATGTTGACACAGATTGTGAGATCCCCTACATTAAATGGATATGTTCGATTCCATCCTTGAGGTCCAAACTTGAGTCTCCCAGAAACACAGGTGTGAAAGAAGCAGAGAGAAAAGAAGATACTCTTGAACTCCTGCTCTCTGGTACACAATTCAAGTGTATCCTGATAAACAAATAACAAAAAGCAGAAATTCTTTTACAATCAAATCACTAATACATTTTACATCTAATGAGGGCCAATTACATTTGTTGCACAATGACAGATAAAGCACAATATACAAATCTATTAGCATATTCTACTTGGAACAATGTGTGAATGAAAACAAATTGAATTGTTACCATAGCAAATTAAAACCCTAAGCATAATGGCATATGGCGCTAAACATTTACTCCTGGATACATATTTGCAAACTTGCATTAAATTTTACTGACAATATACAAGAAGTCATTCTAAAGAAGCATAAGAATATAGGTAAGAAAATGCATGTATATCCAGTCTTCACAATTAATAAACCCCCTGCTTAATGCAGGTCTTCTGTATGTTTGATGAACCAGTTTTTGCTGCTTTCCCGTGTCTGAAAGAACAAGGTGACTGACAAACAGCAGGTAGGTTGCAATATAAGATTGTTGATCTGCTTCTGACAAGCAGTATAATAAATTCTAGGCCTAATGTATATTGTTTTACATAAAGTGCACCACAGGTGTGATTATTTTTCAAATATTAGGTACCAAGGTGCATATAAGTTGACTGGACAATACAGCCAAAATTAAAGCCTCTTGCTACATAATTGTCCCACTGGCTTTTACTATTTATTTATCATTTATTTGTTTTATTTATATGCTGCCTTTCTCCTGATAAGGGGACTCAAGGCAGCTCACAATATTAAAAGGAATAGAATTAAAAACATATGTTAAAAATAGATTAAAAAATTAATCTGTATGCTAATTAAAATACAATTGAACAATTAAAAGCAAGTAAACATTAAAAACTATCTTTACACTTAAGAAGGCATTCAGGATTCAAACATTATTGTTAAAAGTTTGTCTGAAGAGATTTTACTAGACTAATATCACGATGAAAGACAGGTATTTAGAGGGAAGCCCAAAGGGTCAGAAGACCTGACAGAAGAAGACAGACATGGCAGTGTCCCAGACCAAACAAAAAGTACATTTCAATTGGGTGGATGCCAAACTTTGCAAATGGGAAAAGTCTACAAACTACAGTACTATTTGCAGCTTATAATAAGATGCAAGGTTTCATGGCGCTGGTTCTGGTAGCCCCTAGCAGAAAAGTATTGTGTTGGAACAGTCTGAGGATATGTGCACAAGGCATGCGCCATGTACATAAAATCCCAGTGCACTCTTCCATTTGAATTTGGGAAAATGCATTACAGACCAATTTACCCCTTCCGTTCTGTGATTTTTGAGAATGCCTTTTGAAACTTATGAAGCTTGTGACTTCCGAAAATCACCTCTCCATGCTCCTGGCAGGATAAGCTTTTCCTAGAAATCAAGAGTGTTGAGAAAGCAAAGCAAAATCGTTGGTGTAAATCTTACTATTACCTGGTCAAAATTGTAGAGAGCACCATGAAGGTTTGCCAGCAAACCAGTAGGAGGCTCATTAATAATTTTAATAGAGTTCTCTAATATTCCTTGAGGTATTATGTGTTCTTCAGGAGTCGGAGCTGGTTCAGCACTAATAAAGACACGGTAATCAGAGTGACTTCCCTTGCTGTATTCCTCCAGTAGTTTTTCTAAGGTTCCCAGCCATTTTACTACAAGATGAATATTCTGTTTCAGAGAATAAAACACTTTCATTATAAAAGAAAGTTTATTATTTTAAAAGTGCAACATCTAATTATATCATCAAGACCTTACACGATTAGGCAGTTACATAGCAGGGGTGGGGAGAGAACAGAAAGATAATACTCCTAACTATCTTTTAAGAGAAGAGTGAAAAATAGTGCAAAGCCTTTTAATATCAGTTACATTAGCAAAGACTTCATTATCTCCAGGAGCTTAGGCCATGCTTTAGCAAAACGGTTAAGTATGTAAAGCACGCCTTCTACATTCAACCACCCACACAAGTCTGCTGGCTCCTTCCAAAGCTTAGAGAACATTCAGTATATTTTCAGAGCACTGTACAAATTAAGAAGGTCGATGTATCAGGAGTTAGAAAATCCAGCAGTTATTTGGACATGGACACGCAGAATGAAATATCAGTGGTTTAGACTGGAGAGACACTAAGCTTCAAGTCCCACCACTAAGATTGATATACCTGAGCTTGGAATCCCAGAAAGGGCAACCTTCAGTCCTGGTTCCATGGTGAGCTAGCATTCTCACCATCAAGGTATGCAATCATATTGGCTTTTCTCATCAAGCCATCTCATTAAGGTGTGAAGTGTTTTTGGTTCTAGGCCAGCGGTAGCCTCTCCTAGGCAGTCCCAGACCACTTGGACATGCATATTTCAATACTAATCTGTGCAGCCTAGCTGGCCAGGCCTGAGCACCAAGGAATATATACCAAGGTTTTAAGTATTAAGGTTTCTTAATACTGTAGGCTGCAAGCCATGGGTGTTTCCTTATTTATAATACAATATCTGACCTTGTTGTATAAATGGGACCTTCCCACAGAATGCATGGTACTATAACATACATCTCTGTTCCTTTGGCAAAATGTAGCTCCACAGCGTGACACAATAACATCATACTGTATGCACAGTCGTACGTACCAGCAATGAGGGCTAAAACTGCAACTGTATTCCTGCTTCCACTCTGAAACTGAAACTGATGCTGAAAATTGTCAAAAAGCTTAAAATTGTTAAAACAGAGCCTAGGGTTCAGCAAGAGGAAACAAAATTCAGATACTGGTCTTTGCTGATATAGTCTTATAAGTACTTACTGTAGCTATGTCTGGTCACCCTACATGAGAAAGGGCCAGAACAAAACTAGAGGGAAATGTCTGAGCAACTGCATGTGCTCAGGCATTTCCCTCTAGAACACTTCCTAAAATTGTGTGGGTATGCAAAAACAAAAGCATAGACTGTCTCCCATTGTTTTTTTCCCCTCTTGCTATTTCATATTGCATAATGGTCACTAAAAGGAGAGGAGAAAAATACTTCATCTGGCACAAATCCTTTCAGATATTCATTCCCCACCACCATTTGGATGAAACATGATTTCCAATTCTTGTTGCAGTCCAAAGGACCGAGTAGTTGTAAATTAAAGATGAAGGTGATGTTTATTTGAGATGAAAAGCAAATTATAAATGCCAAGATACATTCTATGTTGTCCTCCTGATATCGTTACAGGACGGAAAAAAGAATTTTTAATGCCAGTTGAACCTTTTCCCCCTCTGAATTCCTCCAAAGTTTGTTTCTGGTTCACTGCTTCCCTTCCTGACAACCACTTTGTAGGCCCAACACACACAAAGTGAGCCCCTCCATGGACCACATAAAGAACACCCATCATGTCATTTTACACTTACTTGGAGAATAACCCAGTGCCCATGCTTGGCAGCTTTGTCCAGTACTTCCTCTGCAACAACCTCTTGCCCTTGTCCTAAAGAGATGTTGTGAAATTTCCCAGAGTCAATTGTGAAGCCAAGCTTTTTGCCTGCAAGTGGAGCAGTGGGGGTGGTGAGGTAAACACAAATGGAGAAGAGAGAGTGGAGATGGCGGGGAGGGGAAAGAGAGAGAGAGAGAGAGAGAGAAGATAATGCTACATCAATTTCACTATCATTGGGACAATACACACCAGTTCTTCTGAACCACTTCACTCAACATCATTTCAAGAAGCAAATTGTGAGCTCTCCACAGCAGCTTTATGGCTGGTATTAGAGGGAAAGAACCTGCAGAAATCTGCTCCCTTGGTTTTAAGATAATGAACCTTTTGACATTTTGATAGATGTTAGTTATTGTTACCGAGCTTTATAAACTCTTACAGGGGGTGCAAGCCATTTCTCTTATAAAAAAAGGAAGCAACATGTGGTAGCTATCACATCAGTTTTTTAACTGATTGGTTCAGTGGGTAAATGTGCAAGTCCCTCACCTTGTGAGGCCTGGGTTTAAATTGAGCACAGTCAGGTCACAGCTGTATTAACCTGGTATTCTCAGCAGAGTCAGTGGGGAACAGTAATCCAAAGTACAAAGCGACAGCTTCTTACACAATTGAATATAGTTTGTATAATGACCATTATTTAGTCACAGGGGGCACAAGATTACACGAGCATGGAGAAAATTGCCCTCTGGCCCTCATCTAGTCAAAAGGTATGAAACGGCACAAAAGAGCTTGCATTATGCCAAGCCGAGGAATGTTCAATCTAAAAATTTCTTCACAATGCAGCGTTAATAGCTTCGCACTTTTTATCCACCCTTCCATAGTGAATGGAGGGTTAGGGCCGAGAAGAGGAAAAAATTTAAAAACTTAACTCTTGTTGAGGAAAACAATTCCAAATTTAAATCTGCTTTATTCCTTGATAATGACTATTTGTGGGTTTTTTTTGTGCAAGCTTAACATGTACTAATTAAAGACCAACCCCTGCTCTGTCTTAGTCAAAGCAGAAACCCCCATTGTTACCAATCATAATGTATGCATTAAGAAAAGGTCTATGGGCTCTGAAAATCAGCAACATTAAAAACTGTTGGGGAAATTTTCTGTTTCCACAGCCCTGTTAGAATTCCTACTAAAAATGCCTGTGAATACAAAATGTTCAAGACCCTTTCTTTCCATCAAGTATGCACTCCTTTTTCCAACTCTCCCTAAGACCAATATCTCCACTTTATATGTTCATACAACTCGGTGCATCTAAAAACAACCGCAACAACAAAACCTACAAAAAGATACAAGGAGATGATGTGCACACAATTATCTTATTGGTATTCGGTTAACATATTGCTTTCTGCAGGACTTTAGGTGTTGACAGTTGTGCCTGTGGTTGACACTCATGCCAGCCCAACAATACCCACTTAAAGAAAGAGACTTACCAAGTGTCTCCACATCTTTAAGAGGATCGACTCCAGGAGAAAGAATGAAAAACACTGGAGTAGCCGGACTGCTTTCTTCATAGGATTTAGTCATATCTGTTCTTGTGCCATCAACATACTTTGAACCTAGTTTTTCCTCTACAAAGTTTCTATGGGAATAAATACAAATATGATGACTGCTGAAAGAAACAAACAAGAAAAAGAGTAGCCTTTAAAGATTAACGTATTATGGTGTAAGCCTTTATACACTAAGTTCACTTCATCAGTGTTAGTACTGTATTTAGAGAGCAGTAGCAGTCTACCTGCTACAGTCTTCAGGTGTCAGTATGAAGTATTTCTGAATTAAAGATGTTTCACCGACTGATATTATCATAAAAGTAATGGAAGTGAGGCCACTTCAAAAGGAAACAAGCGGATTGCCAGCTTGTGCACTCAGTCCACATGTGTGTATTGGTACCTTGAACTTGAACCCTCTGCCTCTCTCTCCACCACTGTATGCCAGAGCACAGGACTGGAAGCATCTGCTTTCTGATTTAAACTATTCACAATTGGTGGTTATGGCTTAACCTCAAACTGTTGTTAGTTTGAAACAGTGGTTCTTAACCTTTGTTACTCAGGTGTTTTTGAACTGCAACTCCCAGAAACCTCAGCCGGCAGAGCTGATGGTGAAGGCTTCTGGGAGTTGCAGTCCAAAAACATCTGAGTAACAAAGGTTAAGAACCAGTGGTTTAAAGTATGGTTTGCTGGAACAAGCTAGGGTGAGAAGCCACTACTCTTGCTCTTGTCAAGAAGCCACATGCCACGTTTGTAATGGCAAAGTGTGTTGTCCAGATGTTGTTAGACATCTGCAACTGGATCCAGCAATCTTCGCCATTAGCTATGCTGCCTAGAGTTAATGGGAGTTGCAATCCAGCAACATCTGAAGGACTACACATTGTCCACTCCTGTTATGAGACATAATAGCCACAGTTAGTTTAAACCCTGAAGATGATGCTTCCAGTTTCTACTCTGATGCATATTGAAATATAAGGTAGAGAAGAGAAAGCACTCAAATCTGACATTACCTATGTAGCATCATAATATGATAATGTCTGTACGTAAAGCAAAACAGACTTAAGTGCGTAAAGTACTCCTTATGTGATTAGAAAGGAAGCTGCAGATTTGAGTTAGAGATAAAGTTGGTGAAAGATTTTGCAGTCTGTCCATCTTACCTCTTTTTTAAGACCCCAAGAGACATTTTTTGCATTCTTCAAAACCTTTATATATATATCTCTTATATGAACCATATAAGAGAAAGCTGAGAAACGGAGCTAATTCTGCTGTATGATCACAAGGTTGAATATCTCCTTGAGCTAATCTGGATCTCTAACAAAGCTGTTAAGACAAGCCCATTCACATTAAAAAGTCTGAACTGGCAATTTAAATACATGCCCCATGAAAACTGATTGAATGTATGTATCATAAAAGAAATTTTAAAAAGGCTTGTCTTAAAGACCAGCAGATTTTTTTCAGTGTGAGCTTTTAATGATTACACTGAAATAAATGTTATTTCTAAAGATGCCACAGATTTTTTTTGCTATTTTTTTCCACATGCTGAAACAGACCTGCATGGCTACATCTTTGAAAATTGCTCATATGAAACGATTGCCTCATTTGTCGTGTGGTGTGTTTGTCATGTGAATCTTACATTTTACTATGTGAACTATTCACAATGTGAAAAACATGAAAAAAAGAGAGAGAAAATGCCATGTGATGCATTGTGATGGAACTGGCAAACTTACAGGTAAGCAGCTAAATGTGAATGGATCGCCATATGACATGCACATGATTTTCAAGCAGACATTGTATGGACGTGTGCTCATCTGTGGCAGTACTTTGACAGGCTCACCCCAAATGTGCTTGATGATGCTATATTTGTTTGGAGGAGCCATTTGGCACACAGTTTGGTTTGCATCTACAACAAATTAATTTAGAAGCATAAAATACTGCCCCAAAAAGTCAAACATTGTACCTCAGAGCATATGTCATCCGATCTGGGCGCAACCCTCTCAGTATGATAAGCTTCTGGAAAGAAGTTTTGCTTTTCCATTCCTGAGGAAGTGTCTCTTTTTCTGGGCATTCTGAATCAACCCATTTTTTCCATCTCTTGGGAGAACCCTCAATGTCTCTATCTAGTCCTCGAAATTCATCCATTAAAGCTATGGTCTGTAATTCATTGATGGAACTAGTGAATTACTGGTACATTCTTACATCTTTGGTAGAAGACAAAAAAGTGACCATAACTGAGAAGATGTTGAATTCTTTTCTGCCCCAAATCATTTACCTGCAGGCAATGTAACAAACTGCCAAACTTCAGCCATTTCAAGGAATACGAGCAATTAGTAGGCAGCTAGAGATGGGCACAAAGTGCTGGTTCAGAGGTTCATGCCAGTTCTTTTTTTTTTTCAGTTGAATTGGTGTTTGGTGCTTCAAAGTCCTGCCTTCTCTGGCAGGTGCCCATGCAGAGACAGTGCCTGGCAGGGAAGCCAGAGGAGGCAGGTCTCTGAAGTGCTGAACACTTCTTTGAACTGACACAAACCACCAAACCAACAGTTTGTGATTGGCAACACTAGCAATAGTGACATATGCGTTTCTACATACCAGGGATCTACTGTAGAAATTAACACCACAGAAATAAATAAAAGCACACACACTTCTCAAGGATTGCTAACAAAAGGAACAAACTACTATATTTTCTCAGCTCAGATATTGAACCACTAAACCTTCAGCCATCTACGATGTCAGGTATCACTGAGCTACAGCAGTAAGTGCACTTCATTGTAGGAATGTGGCCCTTCTGATGAGGCTGGACTGACATTCCAGTCAGTCCACTTGGACACAGCTCATAGTGAGGGGTGGCTGGAGCAGTGTTCTAGATATATGTAGAGGACCACAAGATATCCCTCCCTGTGACAAACAACAGTTCTCCCAATGTGAATTATGTTTTTCGCAAAGATATATGAGATACATAAGAGAACTGCTTGATCACATGCTTACTGTATTTGCCAGCGTACAAGATGACTTTTTGGCCCTGAAAAACATGCCTCCAAGTGGGAGGGTTGTCTTGTACACCGGGTGCATGTCTAGCAAACCCTCCCTCTCTCCCAGCGTAGTAAGACCCAGTAGAGCCCCACTCCTAGCCTGGGAACAGCCTGACTCTAGCGCCAAACAGCTGACTGTCGGAACAGCAGAGAGGCGGCAGCCATTTTGAGATGCGACCGCATGGCTGCTACTTCTCCAAAATGGCTGCCGCCTCTCCAAAATGGCTGCCGCCTCCGAAAAGGAACCAAAAGGGGCAAAAGGAACTCTCCCCATGATGCAGCCAAAGCAGAATCATGCATGTGGAAGAGGGGGTAGTCTTATACAGCAAGTATATAACAAACTCTACATTCTGAGTGGGAATGTTGGGGGGCCGTCTTATACACGCAGTCGCCTTATACACCGTCAAATATGGTATTTAAATAGGTAATCTTCCACCTGAATTTCTCAGATCAGATTTTCCCCATAGTCATCTCTCATATTCCAATGAGAAACAGAGCATTCTGTGCATTCAAATGGAGGGGGCTAAATGCATTTTTAAAAAAACAACAACAACTTATTGCTGATTTAAAAACTGTTCAAATATACTACTTTTTCATGAACTGGAAACAGGATAAAATCTAAAGATATGGGGAGAATTTCTGGACTTACTTTAATAGCACTCCATAACTGAGTACTTAAGAAGTCAACAGGACTTTTATAAGTGTGTTCAATTGTAAATCGTAGCAGAAAATTAAGTTCACTAAATTCTATTTCTTTATTTCTCAACAAAATCTAGAAAATGAAGAAAATTGTGAATGATTACCACAGGCCATGAAATTTAATCCAGTGTCACTGAAAATAAACTTAATTCAGTATAAGTCTATAATATATGTCAGCTATAAGAAAGAAATTAATATTTCTTACTCTTGACTATCTGATCATACATTTGTGGCTATATTTGTGATGAGAAGGGAGTAGCAGGCTCATATATTCCCCTGCAAAGCTTGGAAACGGTACCGTTTCTGACAGCTTCTCCAAGAACCCAGAGACTGGTGGATCTTCCGTGCTGTGCATCTTTCATTCTATCCTTGCGCATGTCTTCTCATGTAGAAAAATATCTGTATCTGCATGTCATGTTCCCTTCAGATTTCTTGGCTAATCCCTTGCACATTTCCTATACTCAATTATCAATAAATCTAATCCCACCTGTTATTAAGAATTTATGGTTTCCTTATACTACTCATTGGTCAAAATTCTAATGGTTTTGTAAGTTTGTGTAACTTACTCCAGCTGACTGTAGTTAATTGACATGGTGTTAGGGTGTGTGTGAATCTCATGCATGATCATGTGTCTTACTGTGCAACCAAGAAGTACCCTGGTGCTTCATTAATTAGCCATGTCAAGTTGCACAAAACTTGCACAAACATCAGTAGGATTCCAACCACTGTTTTGCATCTATCTCCCCTCCCAAAATTATTGCTACAACAAAAATCTTGAGGTCTGTATATAGCCCATAACCAAGTCTGTGCCCAGCTTAACAAGTGCCGCTATGTCATGTCCCTGATTCTTGCCATGTCATTTGCTGTGTACCTATGATGTACAAAACATGTGTCACACATTTGAACTGTCACAAGTAATAACCAAAGAATGATTGGCTCTTTCTCACCTGAAACGTTGTCTGACCAAGGAAAATTAGCTTGTCCTTTTCAAAAAGTCCCTGGCTGATATAAAGGAAGGCGGAATATGTAATAGCTTCAATCAGATTGGCAATGCGTTCTTGGATAATATCTGATGGTTCTGCTCGCTCAATTGCTTTATGAAAGACAGTGTTGAAAGCCTACAAGAACACAGAATTTCTGGCTTAATCAGAATTTCCTTTAGACAAGCTATGTGATTGCTTTCAGATCAAGAACAAAACACATACGATCTCCAAAGAAACAAGCCAGCTGTTGTGCCAGTTTACCTTCTGCAAACTGAGTATGTACTGAACTATAGGAACGACAACACAATGGTCAAAAGCCTGTTGTGTCATTTAATTAATTAAATTTGTATCCTGTGCAGGCTACCTTTCTGCTGGTGAGGGTGCTCAAGGCACAATGCTAAAACAAGCAATACTAAAAACACAATAAATTACAGATTAATAAGCAATTAAACTACAATAATAATTTAAAAAATCAAGGTTTTATTATGAGAATAAATTTATACAAGAAAAAGAATGAACCTTCAATGAAAATTGGTAGATGGGATTAATTTTGCTCAGATCATGTATGACAAAATAAAGAAGGGATGCTCTTGCAGCTGCTGGCCTGTAATGTTCTCTTGATTCATTAATATTAACTTCATTTTCTTTGGCTTCTGCAACCTGTAGAACATGTTTGAAAATAACACAAGGAGATCGTCATGATTATATGAGTAGTTACTAACAGTTCAGCCTTCAAAGGGGCCCATTGGCATTCTCAGCAAAGGAGCATCTTTTAGGCTGCAGTACCACACATAACTCTGAATTAGGCATATCTCTTATTAGGACCAACAAAATGTTGCAAAAGTAATGCAAAGGTGCCGTAAGCTTTTGACTTGTCCAGAGGTTTTCATTAGTGATGGTGGTACAAAAATTAGTGGGGTAGAGAGGAGACAAAAAATTGGAAAAATCTGACTTCATTTGTTGGCCATTTCAATGATTCCCTCCCCCTTTATGAGTCTGCTTGAGTGATAAGACCATCAGGAGAGGCCTTTCTCTTGGTCCTCCCACCTTTAGAGGCGTGTTTGATGGGACCCAACAGAGGGCCTTCTCTGTTGCTTCTCCCAGACTTTGGAACTCCCTCTCACAGGAATCAAGACAGGCCCTATCTTTACTGTCTGTTTGCAAGCAGGTGAAGACCTTTCTCTTCAGGCAAGCTTTCCCCGAGTGACTGGATGCATGGATTGTTGTACCTTACTGCTTTGAATGTGTTTTGGTGCTGAGTATGTTTTTTAGTATGGCATTTGCTTGATCCTTTTTTGTATTTCTTATCCTCACAATTGTTAGCTTTAATATTGTCTTTTAATTATGTAAGCCACCTTGGGTCCTTTTAAGGAGAATGGTGGAGTAAAAATATTGTAAGCAAATAAGTAAAAGAAATATGGTGTGTGTCTCCCTCTGTGTAGCTGCAAGATACAAACTCTCCTGATATTTTTACTAATGTTCCTGAAAAGTGTTCTGGACAACTTGAAAAGTCACATCACTTTTGTAAAACTTTGGGGCCCTAATAGAAGCTACTTCCACATTTTCTTTTTTTGGGGGGGGCACTGAAAAATGGGATCAACTCTTGAATACACTTGTATAGGATATTACTATTGATGTAACATCTGTTTATTAATCTAGCATGTAATTTGAATGGTCAAATCTTTACCACCACAATCTTTATCCTCAAAACATAACTTTTCACAATAGTAGTAGTTAAGGGGGATGAATTGCTTTGAGGAAGAAGGGAAGGAATTACTTTGTTACAGGTCACTGTAATGCAAGGAACTTTATTTCCAGTTCATGTCATGAAAAGGAATATTGCAAAGGTGGATAATCAGAATAATTAGACCAGAAACCCTGACGTAGCAGTACACAGTACTATGAGAAGTCTTGTGAAGCAACCAAAATCTTGACATTCCTCAATGGTCTCTTTCCCTTAAGATTTCAACCTGAGAATAATGGCTAGATGTGAAAATACAAACACTGGTTGTTTTATCCTAATATTTTACAATATACGTGATGCATACAGTGTAGTGTAGAGTTTGGAATGTTGTACTTCGGCTTAGGAGTGTGAACCTGGAGAGAAAGAGAAGACATTTCAGCCCTCCGAGATTGCATCTATATGTCTACACTCATTGCACACTATGACCAGTTTCTATTGCCTAAAAAATGGAGAGGCAGGACAGTCACCTAAGTGTCCCCACAGCAGAACAGCAAACCTGATGGAGCAAGAAGCAGGGGTGTCACCTGTTTGATTGCCCTTCTGCTCTGCATTTAGGCAGTGGGATACTGGTGTGTGTGTGTGTGTGTGTGTTTGTGCATGTGTTTATCACATTGCAGTTGTAATGAAATGTACTTATACAAGTACTTTAGTTGTGGGGGAAAAACCCTTATCAGAATCAACTTGTTATTTGAATGAAGATCAATCTTACTTAGCATGGGATGATAGTACATTTACCACCACTGCCCACCTTGGGTTTGCCATTTGTGGTTAGGGACTGCATGTTACTAGCTACTAACAAAAATAAAAGAACTCTTCCACGTGCCTTGCGCTCTATCTCTGCAGCCATTGACTTTGTCGTCTCAAGTTTTTCCACAAGTTCGGTGTCCCCTAGAAAACTGCCCTCGGCAGCAGAAAGGCGGAACAGCAGATCATCCTCCAGAAGCTTCAGCTGAATCTTGAAATCATTCTGTTGCTTTGTTAGAAGAGACTGGCAGATGTAATGGAAACAGAGATTACTTCAAACTGAATACCTGGAAAATTCTGCACAGCACTAGTTACTAACCCAAAAGATTGGGAGATGCTGTTATGGTAGAGCACATATAGTGAATGCTGAACAACAGGCCATTCTACATGTTTATTTACCTTAACATTCTCCAGATCAGGTCGCTCAATGCCAACAGCCTCAGCCAAAAGCTGGTCTTCCAAACCATCTTTTGTGACTGTAAAATCAATGAGAGTGGCCTGAGCTTGCACTTCTGGCTTGTAGTGTGGATTAGCCAGCTTTGTGTGAAGCATGAGCCGGAAATTCTTGTTGAATTCGCATTCCTTGTCCTCAATCTTGATACACCTAAAATAAATTACATAAAAATGATTGCAGTGTAAAGTTGTGAATAGCAATGCAGTTTACCAGCATCTTATAATATATATGGGCACCATGATGCAGTGTAAAATAAAAATAAAAGAGATGCAACACAGAGCATTGCATATACCAAAATAGATTTAAAACAGCAATCGTACTCTTCATTTATATTAGTGCCTGGTATGGCATGAGTAGCTGAGGTTGCTCAACCAGAAATCACTTTGATGTTCACAGAATGAAAGAAGAGGCCCATTACTGTACAACTTTTTCATCAGTATCAATGGTTTCATTTGCTAATACTGCATTTCTCTTTTTTCTAATCCACGAGACTGGCTGAACAATTATATGGCCTTATTTCTTGATATGAATGAAACACACACACATATTCTGAAATGGTTGCTTCTTAATTTCCACCTTTCCTGTACAATTTTCCAGAAAGTTATAAAGAACTCGTAATATTTAAAAGATTAACAGAAATTTACATTTCTAGAAAAGAAATAGCATACAGACAGAACAACCAGTTGCAAGAAACACTTACTGAACAGTTTCAAAAGCCTAGACAGGTGTATCCCAAAATTTATGCACCCCCCTACTCCCACTGAAGTGATTTTAGAAATTAAAGCCCATGGCTTCCCCACAATTAAAGGGTCCCAAAGGAGCCTTGAGATCTTTGGGGAGGGAATGAGAAATGTTTAATTAACAAACAAACAAACATACAGCAGCTGATGACATCATCAGTCCTAGATGGTGCAATTTTTGGCAACAAGATTTCAGTCAAGTACAGTCATTCTCAGAGGGGACCATAAGCCCCCCTGGGGGGCATGGCACATCTGATGGAGGTCACAGATTTGAAACAATTCATCACACACCACCTTATAAGGTTCATTATGTGACTTATATAATCCTGATTCAGTCTCTTTTTTTCCCATATTGTTTTTGACGTTGGCCAAAAAAAGATTGAGAATGTCTGATCTAGTGTATCACTTCCCTTATCTTTCTATAATCTAAAGTTTGAGCTTAGCCATTAAACTACAATATTTTTCTATGCTTTTATTTTACTTTAAAAATATGTTCTTCTTACCTCCTTTTAGTATCTTCTTCCCTGACTTATACCCTATTTTCTAACCTGTATTGCTTTTAATGTCCATTTTTTTTTTAAAAAAACAAGTAATATTTTTTAAACATTGGCATGTACAGATGTGAGCATAATGCTGCGCCAACTATGTAATGAAGTACAGAAGTTACTGTACATAAACAGTCTGCAGAAAAACTGTTTCTCTCTTCCCAAAGGCTTCTCTGTAAGGAGTCAGCTGCATGGATCTGAATGTCCAGAGAAATCTCTGTTGACTGTGTGGACTAACATAGGAACAGTCCAGGCTAGAGACACGCCTATAACTCGAAAGCAGTGAAATCAGCTACAGTATTTTGATGGGAGCTCATGTATCATCTATGTGGATGACACTGTCTATGTACAGATAGACCTAAAAATAGAAATGGGACTGCTGTGAAGTACTCACAACCCTTGGATTCAACATGTGTTCCCTTAAGCAATTCTTGCACCAGCATTCTGTAGAGGTACACTTTAGCTGGTTCCTGTGATGTCAACAATCTCTCTTTCTCTCCCTGGAATAAAGTTCAACTTTTAAAAATATCTGGGCACTTTAAAAAATGAAAGAAAATGAAACAAGCTGCAGAATAAATGTTTACATGCAGAAAGCTTACCAGAAGTGGCATAATCAATTCTGAAATATAAACTGTATATCTGAAGCATGGGAAACAGGCAACACAGAAAACTAGATCAGTATGAAAACTAGATCAGCATTAAAACTAAAAACTGGTCTTTTATTTGTAGCACAAATGGGAAGAAGCCAAATTCATCCTGCTTGAGAAAAAAGAAAGCTTTTGCCAATCCTTATTTTTTGGGGTATGTTTCAGTTTCTTCTAGACGTGTATGTCAGAGAAAACAATGTACTGAAACTGTTTCAAAACGTCGTTGCTAATATATCTATCCAGGTATCTGTCTTTTTGCTAGGGTCAGATTTCTTCAAAATAATTTTTTTAAAGAACTGTTGGATTGTACTGCCATTTAATGTACAGGTTAACAGTACTATACAGAATATACACTGATTTTCTGCTCTGAGTTGACTGTAGTTCCATGCTGCGAAGGAAAATGAAAGACTGATCTCTGAAATTAGTAACAGAACGAAGAGGGCAATTTTGTAACTTACTGTTTTCATCTGTTTACAAAAGGAAACATACCCGGGGAACAAGACTGCACTATTGCGATTCTAAATGCCTCATTTTAAAACAAGTTTTGGAGTCTTGCACAGAAATGCTATTTTATAGGTGCTCAGCGAACAATAGTAATAAATTATCACCAATTTTTGTGGTTATCAACTATGAAAGGCACACGTTGCACAATGATTCAGTGCATTTTATCACTGCAGTTATGCTGGCTTTTGCGTTAACCACAGATGAGGGAAAAATAAACGTTTGTGCTATTGCTCTCTTATGGTTTCACTGTGATATTAGCCAAAAGGGTGGGGTGGAGAGAAGAAAACTGTATCAATCCATTAGATTCAACAAAAGACATTTATGCAGAGGTTAATACTGGAGTTAAAGCTGTAGTAACCATGGGCTTAATTTCCAGAATTCTGCACTAGTGATGTGTGGAATCCTCAGATAAATAATCCCAAGGAGATATTTCACCTTCATGTAAAGGGAAACATAAAGTATAGCTCAGCTAATTAAGGGATCTTCATAGCAAAATAAAAAGTCACATACAGAATTAGATATTTTTTTTGAGTGGCCTTATATCAATTCATTAGGTACAGAGACATTATCTGAAACCAAGAGGGAAGTTTAAGACAAGAATAATTGAACAAACTACTTTTCTATCATGCTTACACTGCATGTAAAAATGGAACATAGATAAGAGACGGTAAACAGTTATTAGTATTGATAAGTATCAAGGGTACCTTGCTTCCTTGGATGATTATTTATTTTTTGGAGGGTATCAATAAATATTATTAGGATATAAATATCAAGAACTTCTTCCAACTATGGATTATAGTGTGAACATTTTGGCTTTCCCCCCTCTGCCCTCTTATTTGCACCTCTAGTTCACCATGTGGCCACCTTCAGATTGATTACCACAAAAATGTACAGCGGTGCCCCGCATAGCGAGGTTAATCTGTTCCGGATTAACCTTCGCTATGTGAAAACTTCGTTAAACGGAAAGTAAAAAACCAAATCGGCTGAAACTCACCGTTTAGCAAAGTCTTCCCATAGCCGGCAGCCATTTTCGCGCCCTCCCCTTGCTTACTGAGGGCGCGAAAATGCTGCGTGCGGCCATTTCAGCTGTTCCGGCAGCCATTTTGGACCCGCCGAACAGCTGATCCGCGGGTCGCAAAGCGAAGGTCGGTAAGCGAAACGCTTACTGACCTTCGCTATGCGAGTTTCGCCCATTGGGGCCATCGGTAAGCGATCGCATTAGCATCGCTATGTGATTTCGTCGTTATACGGTGCGCTCGTTAAGCGAGGCACCACTGTATAACCATGAAGAGCATAATCTTCAGGGGAAGCAGGTGAACCATGTTAGTGGAATGGTGAATCTTCTCCTTGTTTCAGTCCAGACTTTACAGAACTTACCCAAATTGCTGGACTGTACACCCAAAATAGGTTCAGCACATTGGATAGCTCCAATAGTTGTTGCACTCTTTGACACCTCTTTTCTTTGGAACTGGAATGACGTTTACTGAACATTTCCAGTTTGAGGTGATTGGCTCGCCTTCAATATTTGGTAACACATTTTGTTAGGATTTTGTCAGATCCAGTTTCCATTGTTTAAAGTATCGCTATACAAGTACTATATCTCATCTAGCCCTCATGATTGATTTCTTCCAATTGCTTTCAGAGAAGGTTTTATTTTCTGTTTTCAGACTGCCAGTATTTTGTCAAAGGATTATTCTTTGTACATCTTCTACATGTTTCGTCATTATATTGTTTCCATCTTCTCCTTATTTTAACTTGATTAGATGACATATTTCTCTGTTCATCACCCAATATTCCTAACATGGGATTAAATTTATCTTTGGTTTTGTGGATCTTAAAGAAAATCTTTGTCTTCTCCTATTTCTTTGCAGTTATTATTACAATAGTTCTACTTGCCCCTTTGTGTAAGTTACTAAAATGTTCCATTTAGGATTCTGAACCCATTTCTATCACATATTTCTTTTCTTTCTGCTCTGTTATTAAGTTTAAATGTTTCCTCTGTCATCTATCATAGATCTTCTTTTCTTTTAACTATAGGAAAGGTATTCTTACTTTCTTCTCTGATATGATATTTTATTTCAAGCCATAGTTATTCTGGGCAATGGCTAACTGAATTCAGTAGTGCAAATTTGTTCTTTACACAGTTCTTTATCACATACATATCTTCTCACCTCTCTTCCACAATTTTATTCCCCAAAATATTCACTTTTCACATTGTGATGCCTTTGATGGCCCCCATCTTTTACAATGCATTGTCCACTTTTTATTTGTTGTATATCCTTTAGATATAGAAAATATGTTGATGTGCCCAACAAACATGCTTTCTCTGCCCAATATATGTGGTTTGGCCTCCTCACATTTTTCTCACAAAGAGATTGTGCTTCTGGTGCACAGATAATTGGGATAATTGTTAGTTTACATGTGCTATAACAGTTTATATTCACTGAATAAAATCTGGCTGACAAAGACGAAAGAAAGAAAGAAAGAAAGAAAGAAAGAAAGAAAGAAAGAAAGAAAGAAAGAAAGAAAGAAAGAAAGAAAGAAAGAAAATCAAAGCATTTGAGAGCAATACAGTTAAGGTAAGGAAAGGTGGCAGGCAGACTTCTGGGCAAGAAAACAAATGTGAACAATATCTTTCTACTTTAAGGTGTGTGGGGGAATCCCTTTCAGAGCACAAATCAAAGTCCTGTATCAAGGCCTGCTGTTTGAAATTCTTCCATTTAAAAATCTTCCACTTCCAACTTGTGCACTCCAGCTGCTAATGCAGACAGAACATCTGAATATCAGATGCAGAGAGAAATTGTTAATTGGCAATGACAGTAGGCACACGGTACAAGTTAGTCAAAGTTGTTGGGAAGAGGGAGGGGAGAACTGAATGAAAGTTGTATAGCCAAAATGATTTTCATGGCAAAGAACACCATTGCTTGTGGCAACTTACCTGAAGGCACAAAAAACTATCTCATTTTGGGGAGCTGAACACTCTATTTAATATTAAACAGATAGTATTAACCAGACAAACATTGTATCTTGCACCTTGAAGTGCAATTAATATTTCATCAAAGCTGGTTTTGGCTATCCATGCACAAATCCATTTTGCTGATTTTTGTTTCAAATTAGTGGCATGCAATGGTTTATTTTACTTCACAGAATTGACACCCCCCCCAACCCCATCTGCATGGTCACTGGCCATACTGACAGAGGTTTCTAGAATTGTATTTCAAAAAAGTTATTTTTTTCTAAGTGCTGCAAGAGTTTGTTGTGCATGAGAGTTCTTTATCTGGACGTTTAAATGATCTAAATCCATTAGTCAGTTGCAACTAGAGTACACATATTAAATCAGTTACTGAAAGGGAATCACCCTTCTGTAAACTCCAAAGATTCATGTGGCTAAAATCCTGTTGTAGTAACTAGATTAGGCCCATTGAATCAGTGGGGATCTGGTGAGTCAGTGCCTTCATAAGTCCTGTTGATTCAACGGCCTACTCAAGTTGTGACTTACTATGCTCAACAACAGGGTTTCAACCAATGACTCTACCTTACTTTGCACTACAAGATGGATTTAGACAATTGACTGGAGTTGGTTTATAGTTCCTGAAAACAGAGCAAATTTGTTTTCTGAAACTTCAGAGTGCAGGATGTGAAACAATACAAGAAAGGAGCTAGTAAATTTGCTTTAGAAGGAGGTTGATAAATCTTCTGAGCAATAGTTTCTGTCAATTGATTTTGTAAGATATATTTTACTTAAAATTAGGATTGTCTGAAGCTCAGTAGATCTAATTATTTGTAATTACCCAGTTGTTGTCAGTATGTGGTCATTTTATGACAGCAAAAGCTACTCTGTGGGTCAGGTTCAACTGTATATCTTTTCAAACACAGAATTAATGTACTATTGATAAAACCATTACTAGAACCAAATTAAAGTCTGAACTGATGCATTGGTCCATAGGGTGCTGTCAGACATGAAAGGAGTAATTAGTATTCATTACTTCATACTCTGCAACATTCCAATTATTAATGAACTTCAACTGTTAGTCTGCACCATATTTATCACGAGCATCTTTCGTGTCTTTCTCTGTTAGGAGAGGGGAAATAAAAATACTGGCACCATTAGAAAAAAAAAGTTGGTTTTTTTAAAAAGACAAATGCTTGAGATTTTGTTAAGATGGGCTACACTTTCCCCCTGCTACATGGCCACAGAGCTTAAAGCCAGCACAACATCCAATCAACTAGTCAATGATTACAACACATGGAAAAACTGTCTTTGTCTTATTTGCAGGCCAATTAAATTGACTGCTGTTGCTTCAGTTCCAACAGGGATATAATCTATCAGTACACATGTGTTATCCCTGTCAGAATTCTGATGTAGTTGCAATACGAACATCCAAATTTCCAATATCAAAAACTTATAATTAAAAATGTTTTAAAGGTATACTTTTTAAAATAAAGAGCAAAACAAAATAATGAGAAAAATGACAATGACTGACAAAATGATTATTAAACATTATTATTTTAAAAAAGGAAATCACAGACAAATACTATTTCTATACTCTTTATCTCATCTACAAAGTACTTACTTTCCCTTTTTAACAGTGTTTCTTCCAAGCAGGGGATCAAGTATGGGGTCTATCCTTTCTTCCAAGTTTTCAATCAGAACAGTTTCTCCACAAGCCAAAGCTCTTTCAATAGTTTGCAAGAACCTTAATATTAAAAAAACCCACCATGAAACAGGAGTTAGAAAAATATACTAGGGAAGGATAATAGCTGTCTGAATGAAGTAACGAAATCTTGGAATGCTGGAAGCTTGATATAATCTTGGGAATGACAGTGCAAATAAACATCCCTAAGAATGAGCACAGGTTCCATAGCAATAATGTTTTCTATATTTTCTTCACTAACATAGATACAGATAGTTGTCACTGAAACCTAAGAGTCTCCAGTCCCCTTTCCAACAGATATCTTTAGTATATAAAACTACAAAGCAAGTCCCTACTCAATAAATATAACCCACCTACTCAACATGTTAGGGATGTGGTGGTGCTGTGGGTCAAACTGCAGAAGCCTCTGTGCTGCAAGGTCAGAAGACCAGCAGTCATAAGATCGAATCCAAGCGACGGAATGAGCTCCCGTCACTTGTCCCAGCTCCTGCCAACCTAGCAGTTCGAAAGCATGTAAATGCGATTAGATAAATAGGTACCACCACGGTGGGAAGGGAATGGCATTCTGTGTCTAGTCGTGCTGGCCACATGACGACAGAAACTGACTACAGACAAACACTGGCGCTATGGCTTGGAGATGGGGACGAGCATCGTGCCCTAGAGTCAGACACGACTAGACTAAATGTCAAAGGGAACCTTTACCTTTATTCAACATGTTGACTATCAAAGCAAGGCTCAACGAGACAGCTTCCTAGAAATTTTTATCCTAGGACCTCATCTTTCCAGAGCTGCCACACATGCTAGCAAATCCATATGATCCTGATCTGCTGAGGGTTTTTGTTTTGTTTGTTTCTTGTTTTGGTTTTCTGATACCCAAAGTCAACATTTAAAGAGATTTGCCTTTGTTTTGGCCTGCATGCAGAAGGCACAAGAATAATTGTATGCCAGCCTTCATGAGTTCTACGTCAAAATCAGAGATCCCATGAACTCTAGCACTTGACAACAGGAAATAAAAAGTGTTCTCTGGAGGGGCTGTTTAAAGTATGATATCTAAATACAATAAAGCATCTAATGAACATGAAAAGAATTGGGAGACTTCTATAGTGGCAGATTTGATAAGCACAGAGTTAAAAAACAAGATATCACTTCTGAACCAACAATATCCTTTTAAGATTATCTAGCTGAAAAACCACTTTGGGTAGACAGGAAATGTATCATGTTTCTATTTTGGCATACAAGGCATAAACATGCTTTTTTTCAATGTACACATACCCCTTCTTTCCTAGATGTATGATTTTAAGGTCAGTTCCATATTTATTTTTTATCCATTTTATTCCTTGCAGTTGGGGATCTATGAGAAGTGGCCATCGTTCACAATTTGTTAGTATAGCAGCATTTTCTATTGACATTCTATCACTTGGCAGGCCTTCATTATTCCATGCTGCAATCATGGCATCATCAGTCAACAAGGCAACCAAATCCAAGTCTTCACTGGTTGGAATGGGATTCTTTGAGGAAAACAGAGATTTATTTGCTGTAAATATTTGCTCTAAAGTTAGCAAGAGACCTAACGAGATGAAATTGTGTGTACGGGCAGCAATGAAACAGCTGGTGATGTTACATTTAAATACAATTTCAAAAGCAAATAGTTAACCATTCTTCTGAGGAGAGCTGCAAAATATTCTGCCAAAACAGAAGCCAGAAACATAAGGATTTCACACCAAGTACTGTTTTTGCACAAAAAATTATAAATGCTTACTTGCTGTGATTTCAAGAACGGAAGCCATATACATTCCACCAGTTCTTGGCGATACGGTTTGGTAAAGGATCCAGCATAAGAAACAAAAGCTGCTGTTAACAAAACATCACCGCACACAGTTACTTCTTGTTCTTCAAAGGACTTTACAGACTGTGTCCAGCGAACATTTTCAGACTGAAAGACAAACATAAAATAGCATGGCAGTTATCATAAGGGTATAGTTTTCTAGCCAGAGCATGAAGGGCACAGATAACTAAAGAGAAACATCACATATCTGAATGTGTACAGGTCAAGCTACATGAGCTAGTCAACTCGCATTTAGAATCTGATAGCAAAATTTGCTTCAGACTTGCAAATTAAGTACACATCTGCCTTTTAATTCAAAGGAACAAAACTAAAGAACGTAATTTTCAAGGGACAGAGGATGAGGAAAGCTTGTGCTATGACAAAGAGATGTTTGCTACCACTGACAAGAACTCCTGTTCCAAATAGGAGATTGACCCTGCAGACTTCCAGGAGTTGCAGCTATCCCTTATCATGTCAGGACTACTAAGCTCTCAGGGATTCATGGAGCTGACTCCTAAAAGTACTAATTTGATACAGTAGTGTGTAATGTTGCCCCCTTTTCTTCTCTAAGACTTTAAAGCCATGTATAGAACCCCAGCGTTGGCTCCAGCTCTCATAACAAGGGTTGTCAATGTGAGGAATGGGGGTCACTTTTCTCTCGCTAGGATCCTACAGGGATTACACAAAATCTCCAGAAATGCATCCCACTAGTAAAACACCATAAATGGCCAGTATTCCCCTTCTAGTTTTGAAAAATTGATTCTTCTGTGGTGGTTGCACCTGCTTTGAAACAAGAATGGTCATTCCTGCAAACTTCCAGGAGTGGCAGTTCTTATTTTCTACTCTTTCCTTCTTTTTCTTTCCTTTCTTGCAAGGGCTTCAGAGGAGTATGATGGCGCCAAGGGTCACAAAAAAATGCCTTGGTGACCACATGCAGCCCCAACACCACACTTTTGGAAGCAAACAAATTTCTTCATTCCCTAAGCAACTAATCTTTTATGTACTTTTCGTATGGGCTAACTTAGCTTCTCCACAGCAACAGCTGGATAGCAGGCAGCTTCATTCTTTTCAGTAATAATGTAGGTTGGCATTATTTTACCAGGAGATAAAATACAGAAAAGGCTGATGTAGCATTACATAACCATTGCTCTCATAACAAGGTATCACTCAGTAAACTTGGCATCAGTTAGTATAAAACCGAAACAAATTGCTTTAAAACATTTAATCCTGTTGAACTAAGACTGGAAAGACACCTCTTCAACTTCCTACATCTCCATGAAGTTCACTGGTGACCTTGGGCCAGTGATTTTCTTTCAGCCTAATCTACCTCAAGGGCGATAACAGAGAAGACATATACATGGGGAGAGGTAGTATAATGTAGACCACCTTGAACTCCTTGGAAGAAAGACATACACACACACAAAAAAACCCAATAAAGTTGTGATCACAATTTTTTACTATTTTTTTTTAATATGGCTGACAGATGGACATGAGGGACATAAATTGGCTCAAGGTCACCTAATGAGCTTCAAAAGTGGGGAATGGAACCAAGCAGTAGGTGTGCTCTTCAAGTATGACAAATATGTAGGTATGTGCTGGCTTTACAAGAGAATGATTACTTATTCTATCGGAAATAATTATTAATTAATTATTAATTAATCAAAGTGTAATTATTAAATGAAACTCTACTTTCATAAGCAGAAGGATGCACTGCAAAAGGTGCCCTTTTTTCTTAGTTTGTTTAGAAATACTAGTGATAACTAGACACGGGGACGAACTGCCAAAATGGGAACGGGGATAAATTGCCAACCATAAATTTCCCCGTGTTTGACCAATTAAAACAAAAATCAATGTGTCAGTTCATCAGGGCTTTTTTTAAAAGACAAACCATGGCCGAGCCCCCTCAATCCTGCAGTCTTCGCCCATCACCATTGCCTCATCACCTCCCTACATTGTCATCTGTCTCCACAGTTGTGGCCACCTTTACTTCTGCCACCTCCACTTGTGCCACTACCACCTAGTTTACCCTGTGTTTGTGAAAATAGTGGCGGCAACTTCTCTTACAGAAATCTGTGTGCCTAGGGGCCCGCCAATCAGCTGATCTGCTGGCCATAGACACACAGGGTGAGCTAGGTTGCCATAATGGAAACTATCACCACTGTGTTTGTAAACAGCGGTGGTGGCTTCCCGTCTGGTAGCCTGTGTGCCTATGGCCTGCCAATCACCCAGTCAGTGGGCCATTGGCACACAGGCTGCCGGAAGGGAAACTGGGTTGCTGTTTGCAAAGACAACAGCAGTGGCTTCCCTTATGGCAGCCTGTGTGCCTATAGCCCACCAATCAGCTGACTGGCAAGCCACAGGTGCACAGGGCGAGCTAGGAGGCAGGCGGTGGTGGGCAGCAGTGGAAGTGGCAGTGGCAGGTAGCAGCAGATAAGGACAAGCAGAAGGTAGGGGCATGATGGGGCAGTGAGAGGCCTTGGGGGGATAACAAACCAGGAGGTTTATAAATGATTCCAAAATTCATTGCTTCAGGAATGTTCGGGTTCTCCAGTTTGGACAAACCCAACCCGATCCAAAGCACCGAATTAGCAATTTTAGATGAATCTTCTGGTTCGTTTTTAGCTTTGTCCCAACCTCTAGTGATAAATGTTTGTAATTCATTATTTTTTCATTCTTTGGTATCCAGATTTTTGAAAAAGTTTCTTTCTTATATAATCAGCAAAACCAAGTAAAGCAAACACATACTCATTTATCTCAATGAATAAGTTTTGATTTATCCACTTCTTGCCTTATTTTAACTGGCTGGTAAGTCATAAACAAAAATGTGCACCCAGCTCATTCTCCAAACTAGCTTTGAAATTTGAAGATTTACTAAACACAGAACGATTGTCTATTTAAATCTTCAGTAATTTTACTGTACGATTCCAGCATCATAAATCACAAGTGACATTGGCTAACAAGGGTTTAAGAGTTGGAACATGCAGTGTAATAAATTTTCAGACAGTTAAAAATCACTATAATTTTATTCTAATGCATTATAGATTGCCTGTAATATCATCCTGGCCGTGGTGACCCATTTCTAATTTTGAACAGCTGTTCAGCTCGGGAGTTAGTTAATGATTAAATATAAATTGCCTGATTTATTAGTCTGAATGGCTGCGCTTCCAGGTCAATGCTATATAGACAAAATCATCAGTCTTGGTGCTTTTCAGAAGTTAACTGTCTCCTGTTCCAGTCAAAAAGAATTTATAATCTGAGGAAAAGGGTTGATGCTCTCAATTAAATGTTGTGGTTTTTCCTGTTCTTTGCTTATACAACAGTATAAGGTATGAGGAGGTCACACTTTTGAATAGTTTCTGTATTAGATAAAGGAAATACCAACACTCGGACTTTTAAAATTAAAATAAAAGCACACTTAATAAGCAAGATATTAAAGGGCATAAAATCTGTTCATGTTTATCAGGCTGAAACCTTTCATACCCAGATAACCTGGTCATCATTATATAATAAAATATTCCTTTCTTCAGTGCATCCCCTCTGGAACATATATTCTGAAAGAACCATAGCACCTCATCACACTACTATGTCTAACTACTGTGTTTGTGTATTATGTGCCATCAAGTTGGAACTGACTTACAGCTTCCCTAATAGAGCTTTCAAGGTAAGAGAGATATTTAAGGAGTGGTTTTATCAGTTCCACCCTGCCTCAGTGTGTTTTCGTGGTTGAGCGAGGTCTTCTGAGTCCTAGTCTGTCATCGTATCCACTATGCCATATTTAGTGGATCCATTTCTAACTACTGCTATTTTTAAAGCTAGTTCCTCTGATTCCTAAGGCAGTAAGAATTCTGCAGTTTGATTTCTAAGCATTAAGTTATAAGCAAGACTTCTAAGTGGAAAAATGCAGTTACTGTTCCAAGCAACTTTCTTAGCTTTATGAAAGCTAAATGAAATATGATGTTTTAAATGTCAATTGAAAATACATTAAATATTCGGTTAGACGTAAAGATTACACATCCATCTTTCACTAGTATTGTATTATTGCATGTAACATTATTATTCATTCACTGAGAATCAATATGTAATAAATGATATTTAATGGCCATAGTCCAAAGCAGTACATTTACCACCATACAGAACTACAAACCACTTTTGAAATCCATTACAAGCTACTGTATTTGGTCTAAGTGAGTGCACACAGCTACATACCATGCACACATGGACTTACTGAATTCAGCTGATTCCAGCAGCAAGTATTTACTCAGTGTAATTTGTACATTCATATGGCCTGTTCAGTGCAGTTAGAATTGCTGCATATTAATAGTTTGCTTAAAATAATTATGTGGCAATTGACCATTAAGTAATCACTAGTTTTGTTTTGAAGATGCTCTTGAACAAGCAAAAATAATTAGAACACTGAACTGTGTATGGAGTTTTAAAAAATTAAATGTGCATTTGGTCCTTATTAGAAGATTAATGGTTTTTATGAACACAAGGCAGAAACAATGCAACTCCTGTAGCCTACTTATGCAAAGGTTAAGTGCATTGTGGGTGGGTACAAAATGATTCAGTCTTGACCTAAGAATTATTCAGTCTCAGTGCTCATTAACTAGAGGCTGCCCATGCTGTCAGAAAGTATTCATTGCTACGTGCAGATCTAGTGACTTACTTAAAGAGACTTTTCTCTAGGGATATCCAACCCATGAGCAAATGTATAGCATATGAAGCAAAAACAACAGCTTAATGTCTAGGGCTTGATTACCAATTACGTTAAATAAGCAGTAGGGAGATATCTCTACAGTACTGATTTCCCTGTCCAAGTTTATTGTTTCAAAGTTTCTTAGTTTGCAGAGTATGTACCTGTTGTGCTCCTTGCAGAAATAATGATGTACTTATCTACTTTATTGTCATTTACATGGTGCAGAAGAACAATTTTATCAGCTAGAAATTATAATTTGTTTGGTGGGAGAAATCTGAAAGAACATTCTTTGGGACATATGAAAATCCATTGCTTTAAGTATCCCTACTGGTAGAATATGAAATTTTACACATAATGAATGAAATGAAAAGCTAAATCAATCCCCCATCTAATAGTTTCCAGGCCCTGCAAGAATACAAGTTACTTCCATCAAAGTAAAGCACCATGCATTTTGACTGACTAAACTCTGACTCTTTTCTAAAAAATTATAACTTCTTGTTTCACTGAAAATAAGACCTAACCTGAAAATAAGCCCTAGTATGATTTTTAGGATGTTCGTAATATAAGCCCTACCCCCAAAATAAGCCCCAGTTAAGTGAAATTCCGCCCTCCACCATTGTGCAGCAACCAGAAGAAGATGACATGACTGTATTTGAATAAGTGTAGATTGTTGTGCATGAAAAAAACTAAAACATCCCCTGAAAATAAGCCCTAATGCATTTTTGGAGCAAAAATTAATATAAGCCCCTGCCTTTATTTTCAGGAAAACACAGAGAATACAAGCTACTCCCATCAAAGTAAAGCACCATGCATTTTGAGTAACTAAACTATGACTCTTTTCTAAAAAATTGTAACTTCTTGTTTCACCGAAAATAAGACCTAACCTGAAAATAAGCCCTAATGCATTTTTGGAGCAAAAATTAATATAAGACCCTGCCTTTATTTTCAGGAAAACACAGATAGTTATGTATCCATAACACTTTTGCAATTCTGCAGCTTTTTCTGGGTGGCTTTTGTAGGGGAAGTGAAAGCTGTTGTATTGTTTAGAATATTTGTCAACTTTTGCAACTTTCTTTTTGTGTGTGAAATTAGACCAACTAATATTAAAAGTATAAAACAATAAGTATAAAACAACTTTTAAAAGTTAGCAGTAGCACCAAACACATCAACGGTATTTGCATTTTACTTGCAAGCATTTTGTGATCTTGTTTAATCCAGATATATAACAACTTCCATGAGGTCTGGGATAAAAATTGGAAAGAGCAAGGCTGGAGAGAAAACAAGGAAATGGAGCACCCAAGAGTGTAGGTACCCAAGAGTGCATCCTGTCCAGTACCTGCACCAAGCCTGCAGCATCATTGCATGGTACAGATGATGATGATGATGATGATGATGATGATGATGATGATGATGATGATTCTTCACCTCCTCCTCCTCCTCAACTTTAAATTGAGGAGCTGAAAGGGACCCTATGGACCATCTCTTCCTCTTCTTCTTCACCTCCTCCTCCTCCTCCTCATCTTTAAACTGAGGAGCTGAAAGGGACCCTATGGACCATTGAGTTCAGCCCCTATGGGAAATCAAACTGCCAAACTCTACCTAATCTACAGTAGTTCTAGCTGAGCCTATGGTTCAGAACTCAACTTTGATACTGACCTTAGGCACCAGGGTTAAGCCCTGACTCTAAGGACTTCATACATACATGTGCATAGTTATGCATTCACACATACACACACATAAATCCACATCATTCAAGTCACAGAGGGAACCAGGAACATTTAGATCACAAATTGTATGTACCTGTTAACATTGTCATGTTGGTCACTGTTCCATTCACCTTTATTTAATTTTAAACCTGTTTTCATTTTAGCTGTATAGAAAAAATAAAACAAAAGAATGCCCTCTCATTGCAGAAATATTTTATTTAACCTCTGCTCTTTATAATATTAGCTCATTACCTTCACTGAAACTCAGGAAAACTGTATCAATGAAAAAAGCTACTTGCCTCAAGTCCTTTAACAAGCCTGTTAGCCAGCTCAATAGTTTTACTGGTTCTGCCAACATCTTCTTGACATCTAACTTTTTCCGCTGTTGCTTTTTCAAATGATGTTGTGAGTTTGTGCAGATTGGCATCCAGTTCCTGTAGAAAAAGAGAGGAGTTTTTATTGTGTATTGCTTCATCCTTCCACAACAGTAGCAACTTAAAGGCTCGCCAGTTTAGGACGCTACAAGACTCCCAAAGCCTCTATTCTGTTTGGACTGATTTTGTTTTAATGTATACAATTGTACATAGCAGATGATCACATGTTTACATATAGAAAAGTTATTAGTAAGCATGCTGGGAGGGAAATGAGAAAAGATTCAACAATTACCAGAGATCCAGAATCAGAGGAGTGTTCTATTTTTGCTATATGTGCTATTGATTTATTTATTTCAGACAGAAATTGTGGGATCTCCCCAAAAATCTCAATCAACATTGTGAAATGATGCAACATTGCTATAAATATAGAGATTCAAACTTTACATAGCAAAGGACAGCCTGAATGCTGACAACAGCAATGACAGCAGTCAAGATGATCTATAGGCTACCCTCGTCTGCTCACTACCATGCACAAAGTGATACTAAGCAAGGGGAAATTACAGAAGCTGGCTACTTTTTCACCAGTTAATCACCTCATCCAAACACAAAGCAATTGTTTTCCAACAAACGTGAATGGTAGCGGATACAAGGGAGCCCTATATACAACATACAAGGGGAAAAGACAAAAGGACATGGGGGGCACCCTTGTACATTGTATACAGGGCTGCGGTAAACTATAGATAAGTGAAATCACAGGTATCAAACCCGCTGACACAGGGGTCCTACTGTAATTTCCGTCAGACCTCATTGTCTAACAGATTACAAATAACAATATGTACTGTAGAGGTATCTGATATTGCAGACAACATTCTATGTCTCTCACAAATTGTACCATAGTCCATGAAAGCTTGCAATAAATTTGTTAGTCTTTATAGTACCACAAGATTCTTTATTTTTGCTGACGTAGGTTAAACTAAGGCCTCTCATTAAGACCTTTCAAGAGAAATATGGCTGGTGTAGTAACTAGAATGGATAGCCATGTTTGTCTGTGGCAGCAAAAACAACAGTCTTCTATTACCTTAAATTTGTGAATGAGTACAACCTCAAATATATGCTATATTTTTATTATTTTATAAATATATAACTAGACATGGCTTGGTACAAATTGAAGTGCATCTTAGAGCCTTTACAATATATCTTATAGTCACGTAGACAGAGACACTCCCAAAAGATAATTTAGGAAAGGACAGAAAAATTTTAGTGACAGTTTTATAAAGCAGGATAGAAGTGAAACAGCTGGAATGCCTGGTTAACCTGATACACAAGTGTGACTGGAATCCTTCGGGTACTGAGGTAGTTGATCCAATTCTGTTTATGGAGGCATTGATGCTAATGATTTTAAGGACGAGCCATTCTCATGGCAAAATGCCACAAGCTCCTCAGAGAGATTTTAAATGGAGGCTTGAGCAATGTGGAACATTAACTGTGATCCTATCATGTTTAATGGACTATGAACAAGTCCTAAATGTGGGGACTAGTAAAAAGGCTAACACAGAATCACTTCCCTCTCTTCTCTCCTGACTGAAGGCTATATTGACAGGATCTCTGTAAATGGCCATTGAGTTCTTTTTCCTGAGAAACAGGCAGTTCTCTAAAGAAGGGGTTTATATTTGTCTGAAAATCATATTGAACAAGGAAGTCTTCCCTTTTCTCCTTCTCCTGTGAATCCCCATGCCAAATGCAGAACACTAGTTGTAATCAGTAACCAGACAAGGCCTTGATACATCTCTCTGCCTTTTAAAATGTTTGTCTGCAATTTCAGAGGCAGATAGGATTGCCATGTTCTAAACAGGATATAACAAAATGCTGGAATAAGTCCTAGGTTGTTTGGTCTTACAACAGCTTTTGACCACTCAATCATTGAGCTAGGTGATGATGAGATAGGTATATCCACATGCTGGCTCTGTAACTGGGTATACCAGAGTGTATTTTAGCAGTTAAAGAGTTGAAAGAGATTATCTTTTGCATGCATAGATGCTTTAACACTGTTGAGGCTTTGCTTTCCTGGAATCATCTAAAAGCTATGTCAAAAGGAGTGTGTGAATATGAAGATGTGCTTCCTAAATTCTCCACTTGATGTGCAAGTAAAGAAACAGTATGGGAGATAGGAATGGATGGAATCTCTAGAGGTCTCATGGCAGAATTCTTGATGGGTTTGGAAAGGGTCAGCAACAGAATATTACACGCATGTGAGATTTTTACTCAGTTCTTCTGACCCAACCCACTCCCAGCAGTGATGGCTGGTAAATGTATCACATGTTGTCCTCAGCCAATGCTGAGGAGATGTAGCTTATGTCCCTGCACATGTTACAGCTTAAATGCTTCTAGACTATATAAACTAAAGCAAAGTTGGAATATTACAGGGAAATGTGCAAGTTTATTAAATAAACTTTTGAATCTCCTGTCGTTGAAAGAATGCTGAAGGCAATTTAATATGGCTGTGATCAAAATCCTATATTTGTGATGGATTTGACTGGTCCTAGACTCTATAATCAGGATGGTTTATATTTTGTTGCTTCTACTTTTATATAATATTTTAGACAGAATGTTATCAATTCTTCCATCCATATTTCAATGATTTACTGTTTTTAGCTTTTATTATTATGTTTTTAATTATGTAAGCCACCTTTGGTCCTTTTTAAGGAGAAAAGTGGGGCAAAATTATCAATCAATCAATCTTTTCCTTGAACCAGCAATAATTTCCCTCTTGCAGCCCCTTCCCTGTAAATCCTAAAAAAAACTTGCTCCAGAGGATTTGTCTGGGGAGGATTTGTGGCATCACAGAGGGCTTCAATGGGAACAGGAAGGGATGAAAGCTGTGATTCTGCTGGCAAGTAATATAGAAATGTAGCACAGAATCTCAGCCAGTAAAAACCAAGAGAGAGAGAGAGAGAGAGAGAGAGAGAGAAACTGAAAATTCCAAAGTGAAACTAATCTGATGAAATGCATACAATGCAAAGAAAAGTGAAATTTCTGAGATGAGAGCAACATTAAATCTGTACAAGTTCAAAACAATAATGCAGTTGTTGTGAACCACCTAAAGGAAAATAATTTGGGACTATTAAAAATTTAGAAATCTCTGGAAAAGGTGTTCTACAGCTGGAGTGCTACTATATTGTAAACTTTAAATTAAAGGCATAATATTTTTACCAATTTTCAAACATGGTAAATCTTTACATGTAGGATTTTTTTTAAAAAAAAATTAAAGATGTATGTTCACTCTCCCATTGCATACAGTTGACAAAAATTTGTCATTTTGAAATATATTTTAGCAAGCATTAAAAAATGAAGGGTTGTTAGCAAAGCACCATCCAAACTGATGATGTATTATTGATTACTAGGTAATAGTTGTAACATTTATTAATCATTATAGAAAATTACCAGCCAGAATAAAGAACCTTCTGTATGAAAAATTAGTGCAACAACACTTTTCTTATAGAAAAGTACTAGTTTATAGGACTGGATTCCATCGGAAATCCATGAGATAGGGACATGGCCTATCCAGGAAAGAATTTTTCAAAGGTGTAAGGGCACAGAATGTTAGTGAGAGACTATAAAGCAAGCTAGTAAGTGCTAAATGGGAATAGCTGTAGGGGATGTATTAGGAGTTGACCTATGAGCAAATGAATCAAAGTATGGTACAAACAAATAACAGCACATGGCATGGCATCTGGTTTCAAAGAAAACCTGTCCTCTTCTTTTAAAATAAAGAAGGCAAGATATTTAATTACAACTGGAATGACAGACTAATCTATGCAGACAAACTAATTAAGCATTTACCTTGCAACTGAATTGGGTCATCTTTTGCATGGCTAGAATTTACCTTTGATCTAGTCCAGCAGAGAACTGGATTTGCTTTGTGTCTGTGTGCTAAAGATAAGCAAGAATTATACCTGAGGTATGTGTGTGTGTTTGTTTTGTGGATGTGTACAGCTGTTTGTTTAGGTATGTTTTAAACACACACAGAGAGAAGCAGAAATGATGTTGTGTAGTTACATGAATGGTGTAACTTTTACAGGTGAAGTGCTGTAAATTAAGACCTTGAGAAATCTTCACAGACCTGGGCTGTACACCAGGTTGTGTCAATCAGTATGCAACAAATAATGTCTATGGCAATCTCTTAACCTATGGAAATTCACTTTCAAAAGTTGTGTCTCTGCCTAATTGCACAACAGGATTCCAGCCAATGATACTCAGTGGCTTAGGGGGAAATTCTAACATTTCGAAATAAAGATTTGGTGTACCAAATATGCAAATTCATATGATCATCTCTTAGTTTATGTAATAATGCTGAATGCACACAAATCCTTTTTTGAGCTGTAAAACAATGGCTGAAATCTTGTTTGTGTCAATTCTGCAGTGCAAAGCTGATGTCTTTACCAATGGTGGCTATTTTCAGTAATTAAAGCCTTATTCCTCCCTTGCATTGGCCCCCAAAAGTTCCGGACAATGAAAGGGATAACTTAGGACTTGCAGTAGTCTTGGAACAGAAGAGGGAAATATTTAATTTTAAAAATATTGTCCTGGCTGATTGGAGCTCATACAATCCCTTCATGCCAGAGCTAGAAACCAATAAAATTCCACAACTTTACAGAGAGCCTCTGAGCGCTGTCACAAAGAACTAGATAATTCTGTAACATTTCTTTGGGAATGGAAGACGATAAATACTGGACTAGTGTTATACATACAGCAAGTTTTTTCCTGATAGCTTCCAGCTTCTCAGTAGCTGCTGCAAGTTCAGCATTTGCTTGGGCCAATGCTTGACGTTTTGGTTCAACATCACAGTATACCTGGGAATTCAGGTATTGCACAGTTATAAATGAAAACAAAGGAACAAAAGTCAAAGGAAAAACTTCAAGAAAAATTATAAAACATCAACATGTTTCTCTCTTTAAGAAAACCTGTCCTCTTCTGTTTTCATAGTAGTTTATTAGGCAATACTTCAACTGGAATTGATTACATCCTCCCTTCTTTTCAAGTTGCACTTGAAAAGTCATGGAAGAAACATCATGGAATAGATAAATGAATGCAGTAGATACACATTTAATTAAAGTAACATCCTGGCAGATGATAGATAATCTAATACTTCTATTTCAAGCAATCATTTTCCTTCAAGTTGTACTTGTTATTTGTGTAAGTATCATTATAATTCATTGACTCTGATCTGGAGAAGTGTATGGCTCCTTTCCTTTTCTGTAAAGTCTCTTTACCAACAACACAATGCCACCTGCTTTGTGACCCTGCAAATGTTTTTTAAACACCTCTTGATAGTGTGCATGACAGCGACTGTGCTGACTGGACAAGAAGAAAGAGGGATAAACTATACTATAATATATAAGCGATAAACTAACGATAAGTATGTACGCCACCAAATATATATTCTCCCAATAAGGGGACTCAAGATGGCTCACAATATTTAAAACAAAACAAAACAATAAATTATACATTAGAAACAATTAAACTATAGAACTGATTAAAATACATTGAATAATTTACAACATACAAAATGTTAAAAAGTATCTTAAGGAAAAATGGGATTCAGGGACTCAATTATTAAAAGCCTGCCTGAAAAGATGGGTCTTCAGCTGTCAGTGGAAGGATTAAAAGGAAGAGGCCAACTTGACCTCCTGAGGAAGAGCGTTCCATATCCTAGAAGCAGCCACAGAGAAGGCCTTCTTTCATGTCCATTCCATAACCTAGAAGAAGCCACAGAGAAGGCCCTCTTTCATGTCCCCATCAACTGAGCGTGTCCTGGCAATGAGACTGAGAGGAGGGCCAACTGAGCATGTCCTGGCAATGAGACTGAGAGGAGGGCCTTCTCTGATGATCTTAAGCACCGAGAAGGCTCATATGGGGAAATATGGTCCTTCGGGTAGTCTGGACCTAAACTGTATAGTGCTTTAAATAAGTAATGACCAGCACCTTGAACTGGACCAGGAAATGGACTGTAGCTGGTGCAGTTGTTGTAGCACGGCTCTCTATAACTGGCCCCAGTCAGTAGTCTGGCTTACGGGTGTTATAGGCTCTCTATAACTGGTCCCAGTCAGTAGTCTGGCTGCTGAATTTTGAACTGGCTGAAGTTTCCAAACTGTCTTCAAAGGCAGCCCCATGTAGAGAGAGTGCATTACATTAATTCAAACAAGATGGGACGAAGGCATGCATCACTGTAGCCAAATCAGACATCTCAAGGAATGGCTGCAATTGGCACACCAGCTTTAACTGTGCAACTGCATTCCAGGCCACAGTTGAGACCTGGGCGTCCAAGCTCAGGGATGAATTCAGGAGTACACTCAAGCTGCAAACCTGAATTTTCAGGGGGAGTGTAACCCCATTAAGCACAATTTTCATCCCTATCCCCTCCTCCGCCTTCTGACTGACCAGGAAGACCTCTGCCTTGTCTGAATTAAGATTTGTTTGCCCTCATTCAGCTCATTGCTCCTCTGCCATTGTCATCACTATTGCCTAATTCTTTATATTTATTACCTTAAAGTGAGTATAAAAACCCCTCTCATGACAATGTCTCTCATGACAACAGAAATAAGCAATGATAGACACGCTCTGAGAATCAAATCAGGCCTTCTGCAGCATTGGCTCCTTTTCTTGAATGCTGATTCTGAGAAGAAAAGCATAATGGGAGGCATATGTTTGGGGCACTTGCTACTGCACAGACCACCCTTTCTATTACATCTTGGTTCCAAGAATCCCTCTCAGAAACAGCATTCAGAAACAGGACCTGGCACTGTTCAGGCCAATTCTGACTCCAAAGAACAGCTGCTTCCACTTTTATCTTTTCTGGTAGCATTTGCTGCAGGAAAAAGTAGTCTGTAAAAAAAGAAGTCATTAAATGTGGGTGGCATGAGGGGGCAGTGACTCTGCAATGAAGAGTGGTATTTTGATGTATTCGCGAAGGCTTTCAC